TATTTACTATAAATAGTATGGAGCGGTTGCTACTATAAAGAACTATAAATCGGTTGTTCTTGTAGAGAACAATAGAGTGGTTTTTACAGCAAATATATTCTGGTGAAGTGAAGCTTATTTATAATCAAGAATACCCACACGTTGTCGTTTCGTTTGTGAAGGGTTTATCAATTAAAGATTGGGTAAGTGTTTCTAATCGAGAAAATATAGACATACGTTAATTTACAAAGGATATACCTAACCTAGATTTTTACGATACACAAGTAATGAAATGAGACCCAGTATTTAATCCTTACAGACACAGTAGGTGATCCTGACAGACACAGTATGTGATCCTGGGCGACACATCAAGTGATCCTGATAGACACATCAAGTGATCCTGAGAGACACCAGAAGGGATCCTGATAGACACATCAAGTGATCCTGAGAGACACCAGAAGGGATCATGAGAGACACACCAAGTGATCCTGAGAGACACCAGAAGGGATCCTGAGAGACACATCAAGTGATCCTGAGAGACACCAGAAGGGATCCTGAGAGACACATCAAGTGATCCGGAGAGACACATCAAGTCATCCCGAGAGACACCGGAAGTGATCCCGAGGGGCACATCAAGCGATCCTGAGAGACACACCAAGTGATGCTGAGAGACACATCAAGTGATCCTGAGAGACACATCAAGTAATCCTGAGAGACACATCCAGTGATCCTAAGAGACAGATCAAGTGATCCTGCGAGACACATCAACTGATCCTGAGAGACACATCAAGTGACCCTGAGAGACACATCAAGCGATCCTGACACAATAGAATATCTAGTTGACACTCAATAAATCATCATTATGTACGAGTACTGAGACACAGTTTTCCAAACGTATAATCATGAAACATTAAGACATGACACTTGTCTTACACTATGTAACCTCAAAGGACAAAACTAACCCTCATTTATGAACGAAAGATGGCAAAACTAAGCTTCCTAATAAGTATAATGTAAGAAATCAGTATGAAATGAGTTTGAATGACTGACGGCTTACCAAGAATTCGCTACATCAAAAAAATCCTCTTAACCTCTGAAGACAGTGTCATATACAGTCTATAGTGGTATAAAGGGGCCTTCCACTGCATATAACAGGACTTGGATTTCTCACAATATATCTTTTCTCGTAGTCTTTTTTATTCTAACCAGAAAATATTTACGCATCGGCTCGTAACTAAAGTCACATAAACGGTATGTTTCTCTTACTGACGTGATTGAGCATATGATGTAGAACGAGCCAGTCAAAAGTCACTGAATCAGACATACTGTCTGACCTTTTATAAGAGCCCAGGTTCCTGTGCTGTTAAGAGACCACTGTCCGTATCTGTGTCTGCTACCCGTCAACTGACTTGCACGAGAATATTCTCAGGGGAAGTCTTTGGTTAATCAATAAAAAAATCGTCTATATGATGTTTCTATCTTAAATATGTCCTTCAGTCTAACTTTAAAACGTGTCTTATTCTTGTTGGTTTTGATTTTTAAATTTCCAATCATCATTCGCGCTTGTAGAGTTTCGAAACACACTATGAACTGAGATACTAACTTGTAAACTTAGATTTTGTTTAATGATGTCTCCCACCCTTCACAGCCAAGTATAGAGCCTTTAAAGTTGTCGGGGTCATAGGTACTGATGCCAGCTCTACAACCGTCCCTGTGTCTCAAGTCTTAAATGTTGCAAACGTGCCGTTGGTTAGCTTTTGGGCAACGAAAACTGTCTTGGACGATAAGGTATGTCATCAGTTTGTTGATAAATGTAATCTTTCGACTTTTTAGACTTTGGTCTTGTGAGTTTGAATTTGAATTTCGACCGCATGCATAGGCTCCCCTCCAACCAACTATGGTAGGCTGGATGGAGATTGTGGCTAGAGATGGGTGGATGGGGAAGGGTGGAGAAGACTATGTTTACTAGTCTTTCCTCACGTAATGGAGATGTGCAGTGTGTTCCTAAAGAGGGCTGCTCAGTCGCTCCGGGGGGCTGCCAGACACCCCCACGGCTCCTTTACAGTGAGGATCAAACTAATGGCCTGACTCGCCTTTGTGCAGGTTTTCATCTACGGCTGCCAGTGTACCCACACCGTTCAGTGCACCCACACCATCCAGTGTACCCACACCGTCCATTGTACCCACACCATCCAGTGCACCCACACCTTCCAGTGCGCCCACACCGTCCAGTGTACCCACACCGTCCAGTGTACCCACACCGTCCAGTGTACCCACACCGTCCAGTGCACCCACACCGTCCAGTGCACCCACACCGTCCAATGTACCCACACCTGTCGCTTCGCCGCTTAACCATCGCCACAGGACTTTGCAGATTGTTTGGGGGGGGGCACTTAGATAGGTGTGGTTGTTTTTTTTAAATCTTAAACTTCCAAACAGATCATCAGCTATGACAGTGTGGAGATCCGCATAGAACTTGGTGATTACTTCATCTGTTGGTCATTGTTGGAACATAGCAGCTGATATTCCCAAGCAGGACAAGCTCACAATTCTTGGTGACTTCAATGATGGAGTTGGCAGCAATCACATCGCCTGGGATGGAGTACTGGGAAAACACGGAGTTGGTCATTGCAGCAGTAACGGTCTCGTCAGACTCATGAGTCGCTATGCGCACCAATTGCTAATGTATAATTTCACGCATCATGCATTATCCTGGATTATCCTGGATGCACCCTCGATAAAAAAAGTGGCACCTCATTGACAGTGTTATCATCAGGAGAAAGACCAGTTGATACGTGAGTGTAACCAAGTCTGTATGTGGTGTGTGTAATCAAGTCTATATGTGGTGCAGACTGTTGGACAGATTATCGCCTCATCATCATTAGCTCAACCTTCACTTACAATCAAAATGAGATGATCACAGGAAAATAAGATCTCCAAAAGCACAATATGATAAACATGAAAGGCAAGACTAGAAAAATAAAAACGTTTCAGGATGCTCAAGAGGAAATTTTGAAATTCACATCTCTAGATAATCATAACGTCAAAATGGATTGACCATCGCTCAAAGTTTCTGGGACCAAGCTCCAAAAAACAACTGGTTCAATGAAAACTGGTGATCAAGCTGCTGGGGGAAAATCACTATCTTCACAACTAATTTCTTAACGATTCCAATTCAATGTCTATGAAATACTGATACAACGACATCAGAAGAACGATGCAGCAAAATCTACGTCGAATAGAGGATAAATGGTTGAGTAAGAGGGCTGAAATGATTCAGGGTTATCTGATTAGACATTATCTGAAAATTTCTACTTCAGTTTCAAAGAACTCTAAGGCCCCCACTTCATCATGAGCATTCCCACTTTTCAATGCTGGTGAGAAATTACTGAAAAATAAAAAGAAATATCTAACGCTGGTCAGAGCACACTGAGAGCATCTGAAATCGCCATTTATCTGCCAATAACGAAGCCATCAATCCACTCACGCAAGCAACATTGAAAAAAGAAATGGAAGATCCGCAACTGTAAATGAGACGCAACAAGCATTATGTCTGCTCTCTAGTGGCAAAGCTCCATGAGATGACTACATTGCGGCTGAACTCTACAAGAAAGGAGGCACAGCTCACACTTTTGTGGCAGCTAGAGGAGATATCACATAATTTTAAGCACGCATCCAAAGTCTATTTGTACAAAGCTAATTGAAACAAAACCTTTGGTCTGACCATCAAAAGAAAAATCCTGTCGTCCTGTCCCAATCGGCTTTACGAGAACCATACATCGAGCCCAAACTCCACCAACAAGTGCTCAATGCAACGAGAGGCTGACAGACCTTCTACTGCAGAACACAAAAGACAATCAAGAAAAGCCCGAGGCGCTCTGGTACCCGAAGTTGCCCCTGCACTTCCTGCACTAGAACTTTCCGTGTCAAATTTGGTCTGATGAGCCATCTGCGCACCCATAAACAGACTCAACCCCTGCACCAGGCCGATGTTTAGAATGGTCATGGCCGACTTTCGACAGATGAACTATCAAATCTCATCTACTATTATAAACTGAGAATAATCATTAAAGACAAAAGACTGCAAAAATTCATTTATTTTCATACATAATTGTTTTGAACAGCAAATTTTCATGAAATTCCTTCTTGAATAACCATCTCGATGTAGAGTTTTTAGCATTAGTTTTATTTTATCTGTAAGTCATTTTGATTGAATTACCTCTTGAGAGACTATTTTAACCAACATTCACCTAAATACAAAATGAAAACGAAAGGTTAGTTTATTTGACTAAATGTTTGATGTAGTCATGGAAATATTGAACCGTTAAAGAATTAAAGACCTGCTAACCGAATAGAGTAGAATGTCTATTATCCGAACTTTTTAAGACCGGGGTGGTTAGTAACACTGAACATTCCCACAAATAATGCAGTGCACTAGTACACGTACTTAGAAATTGTATAGTACACTAGTAAAAGTAATTATACTTATGCAGTACACTAGTACAGTTACTTGGACGTCATACAGTACACTAGTACACGTGCTAAGCCTTGTGCAGTACACTAGTACACGTACTTGGACATCATACAGTACACTAGTACACATACTTTGACATTATAACGGACACTATCATGCGTACTTTGACGTACAGAGCACTAGTAAAGTATCTAGCCATAATACAGAACACTAGTAAAGTATCTAGCCATAATACAGAACCCTGTTATTTACACATAATATAGTAATTATATCACGTAAAAATATCATTAGTTTTTTAACTATAATTGATTACATGGATATTTTAAAGCTGTTAAGCTATTAACTTATTCATTTTTTTTTAAAAACATTTTTGTCATTATTAATATACCTCTATAGTCAACATGTTAATTTCATTTGATTCCAACATGCTCAATAAATATTTCAAAGCACAACATTTAAGAAAACCTCTATTATTTTATGTATATTTAAATCTTCTAAATAATAGGTGTATCTTTCTTTGACCCTCCTCCCAATACATCTTTAGCGACTTTACCCAAACTTTTCTAGGGTTATCGCTTCTGACGCCTACATGGTAACAGCTATTGTTGATTTCCTGACCAAACTAGACTTGAACTACGTTTCTGTTATGTTCGACAACACTCATGAATCCACCAGACTGTACCACAGGCTTAAGGACGGTTTAAACTTAACTCAAATTTGCGTAGGGAAAAAGCTCATGATCAATGAAAAAACGAACTTGGCGAGAATGCTGAGAGATCTGCTGAAAGACAAACTGGCTTCCAGGATTATAATTGTGATGGGGGGCAAACGGCTGACCGAGTTAGTGATGTCAACGGTCAGTAAAACGGATTTGGAAGGTCAGTTCCTGTGGGTAGGGAACGACTACTGGGAGGAGTATATCTACAAAAACTTGGCTCCCCGTGGCTCCATTGGCGTACATTTTAAGAGGCCGTCAAACCAAACAGATTTCCATGCCTATCTGCAACGCCTTGACATCAAAGACGCAAATCCTTGGTTGGTCAGAGCGCTAGAAACCAAGGACCGTTGCAAAGACAAGAAATGCCTACAGCAGCGTATCGCCATATCTCTTAAGAACCCTCACGCGGTCTTAGCACTTATGAAAGACTGTCCATACGTCCTCGCCAATGTCTTGAGTAAATTTCTGAAATACCGTTGCCCAAGGATGGTGGGCTCCTTAGCTTTAGAATGTTTCAATCGAATATCTGAGGATTTCAAACTGTACATGAACCATATTAACGCCAAAGAAGACATACGTTCGTTCAAGCTCAATCCCCAAAACAGCAACGAAATGTTCTCGGTTGTTCAGTCAGCATATGACATCAGCAACAAACCTTTCGAGCTCGCCCAGTTTAGCATGAAGCAGAACACCACTCTGGTTCTGAGGCAGTTCTCGCTGTCACAACTGAAGATCCCTTTTGAAAGACTTCGACCGGAAAGTTTTTGCTGGAAAGCTTGCGCGGCGGGCGAGTATCAGTACGCGAGATCCCGCTGGTGCTGGAGCTGCAGACGGTGTCAGGACAATGAGCTAGTCAGTGACAACTTGAAATCATGCGTGTTGTGCCCACCATTTTACTGGCCTCACACCTCTGGGGAAAATAAAATGCATTGCAGGAAAATACAAGTCGACCGCTTCCACTGGTTCTATCGAACAGCAGCCATGTTCCTTGCCGCCTCCTTGCTTGGCAGTGTCAGTGTCCTATTGATCCTGCTATTATACTGTAAGAAGAGGTCCCAGCCAATCATAAAAGCTTCTAGCGTTGAGATCAGCGTCATCCAATTACTGTTGATCGCACTGGGGTACGGTACTGTGCCTATGTTTATGGAGAACCCGTCAAGTCTTAGATGCACTCTGGGCCTGTTCTTCTACATGACCAGCTTCGACCTTCTGTATGCCACCATGCTGATCAAGGCCATACGAGTGTACAGGATTTTCAGAATGTCAGCGCAGCGGATGACAGTGTCGTACACCAGTCCCGTAGTCCAGGTGGCGCTCTGCGCTGCGTCTTTTCTATTGGAGGTGAGCTTTTTTTTAACAAAAAAAAAATTGTTCACAACTTGTGCCGTCCTACTCTGGTGGTGGTACTAAATGTAGTCACAATACTTTTTTGTCTGAGACTTCTAACAAGTATCTATAACACTATTTATTGTGGAGGTTGTATGGAAAATTAGTGTAGACATTTTCGACACAGTCCTTCAATAACCAAAGAAATTATCGACACAGTCTTTCAATGACACAGTCCTTAAATGAGCAGCGACATTATCAAATCAAGTCCTTAAATGACCAAGGGCATTATCGACGCTGTTCTTTAATGACCAAACACCTCATTCGACACAATATAATTTAAATTGCATTATCAGGACATATAATTAATTATCTGTCAAAATGTATTTATTTTAAAATATACTTCAAATATTCATTGCCATTTTACGTTGACTGGTGCAGCTCATTTAGAGTGATTTCCCTTTTATTTAATTGAATTTCTATCCATTTTTCCATACATCTATTTATAATATATCTGTTTTTTACATTAAAATCTTATCAGTTCTTAAATTTGTACAAGATGTTTCGATGTTGATAAGCATTTATAATTGGCGGTTCATGTCTTCAAAGCTTGATGAATAATACAAATATGTATGTTGCAAACTCAGCAATAACTTGACTTTTTCAATGACTTTATGGGGCATTGGAGGTATTCTGGGGTATTTATTTATTAGGGTTTTTTTGTATTCTTAAATTATCATTATGGGTACTCTCAAACTATCGGGCACGGGGTACTTAAAATGTCAGGCTTGGTGTATGTCCAAATTATCAGACATTGGGTTATTCTCAAATAATCAGGACTGAGCATATTTTAACATTATGAGACATGCGGTATTCTCAAATGGTCAGGATTGAGAGTATTCTAACATTATGAGACATGTGGTATTCTCAAATGGTCAGGATTGAGAATATTCTAACAGTATGAGACATGTGCTTTTCTCAAATGGTCAGGATTGATAGTATTTTATCATTATGAGACATGTGGTATTCCCAAATGGTCAGGATTGAGAGTATTCTAACATTATGAGACATGTGGTCTTCTCAAATGGTCAGGATTGAGAGTATGCTAACATTATGAGACATGTGGTATTCTCAAATGGTCAGGATTGAGAGTATTCTAACATTATTAGACATGTGGTATTCTCAAATGGTCAGGATTGAGAGTATTCTAACATTATGAGACATGTGGTATTCTCAAATGGTCAGGATTGAGAGTATTCTAACATTATGAGACATGTGGTATTCTCAAATGGTCAGGATTGAGAGTATTCTAACAGTATGAGACATGTGGTATTCTCAAATGGCCAGGATTGAGAGTATTCTAACATTATGACACATGTGGTATTCTCAAATGGTCAGGATTGATAGTATTCTAACAGTATGAGACATGTGGTATTCTCAAATGGTCAGGATTGAGAGTATTCTAACATTATGAGACATGTGGTATTCTCAAATGGTCAGGATTGAGAGTATTCTAACAGTATGAGACATGTGGTATTCTCAAATGGCCAGGATTGAGAGTATTCTAACAGTATGAGACATGTGGTATTCTCAAATGGTCAGGATTGAGAGTATTCTAACATTATGAGACATGTGGTATTCTCAAATGGTCAGGATTGAGAGTATTCTAACAGTATGAGACATGTGGTATTCTCAAATAGTCAGGATTGAGAGTATACTGAGTTGCAATATTCTTACAATTGTATTATTTCCTCATTACTCTCCATTCTATTGCAAGTTTTGATTTTAGGGTTGTGTTTTTGTGCTTGCCTATTTTATAAGTTTGTATTTGTGTACTTGCTGTTTATAGGCACGTTGTGCTGCTTGCTGTTTATAGGCACGTTGTGCTGCTTGCTGTTATAGGCACGTTGTGCCTGCTGTTTATAGGCACGTTGTGCTTGCTGTTTATAGGCACGTTGTGTTTGCTGTTGATAGGGACGTCATTTTGTGATTGCTGTTGATAGGGAAGTCATTTTGTGATTGCTGTTGATAGGGACGTCATTTTGTGTTTGCTGTTGATAGGGACGTCATTTTGTGATTGCTGTTGATAGGGACGTCATTTTGTGCTTGCTTTTGATAGGGACGTCATTTTGTGCTTGCTTTTGATAGGGACGTCATTTTGTGCTTGCTGTTGATAGGGAAGTCATTTTGTGTTTGCTGTTGATAGGGAAGTCATTTTGTGCTTGCTGTTGAAAGGGACGTCATTTTGTGCTTGCTGTTGATAGGGAAGTCATTTTGTGCTTGCTGGTGATAGGGAAGTCATTTTGTGCTTGCTGTTGAAAGGGACGTCATTTTGTGCTTGCTGGTGATAGGGAAGTCATTTTGTGCTTGCTGTTGAAAGGGACGTCATTTTGTGCTTGCTGTTGAAAGGGAAGTCATTTTTTGCTTGCTGTTGAAAGGGACGTCATTTTGTGCTTGCTGTTGATAGGGAAGTCATTTTGTGCTTGCTGTTGAAAGGGAAGTCATTTCGTGCTTGCTGTTGAAAGGGACGTCATTTTGTGCTTGCTGTTGAAAGGGACGTCATTTTGTGCTTGCTGTTGAAAGGGAAGTCATTTTTTGCTTGCTGTTGAAAGGGAAGTCATTTTGTGCTTGCTGTTGAAAGGGAAGTCATTTTGTGCTTGCTGTTGAAAGGGACGTCATTTTGTGCTTGCTGTTGAAAGGGACGTCATTTTGTGCTTGCTGTTGAAAGGGACGTCATTTTGTGCTTGCTGTTGAAAGGGACGTCATTTTGTGCTTGC